CCTTGAAAGAAACCAGACTCAGTTCGGCACAACCATTTTAATTTCTCCGCTGGCCAAAAGTCTTGTGTAGAGCTGCAGTCTCAGCGGTGAAGGCTGGAAGCTAGCCTCAGCGAAGACTCGTCTGTCCCTGGAGCGTCACTGGAATCAGTCTCATGCTCTCCACTCCCTCATGACCACCAGCGCAGCAGCAGCTCCGGATACGGCCTGGTCCCGTATATGGACACCTTGGGATCATCTCGTCGCTGGTCTTGGATCCAATCAGTGACTCCGCTTAATCTGGGGACCTCGGGATGAGTATCCCCAGGTGGTAATGGAGAAAAAAAGAGAATAATTAGCGTAGCTGCTGTCCATAGTGTATATAAACAAGATGTAGAAACTTGTGTGGAAACCCACTAAGTGATGCACTGAGTGTATGCTTTACCAAACAGATAGGTCTTTAATCTAGTTTTGAACTGAGAGTGTGTCTGAGCTTCGAATGTTATTAGGAAGGTTATTCCAGAGTGTAGGAGCCATAAATAAGGCTCGACGTCCTTTACTTGATTTTTCTATTCTAGGTATTACCAGAAGCCCTGAGTTTTGAGATCTTAAAGAGCGAGTTGGATTGTAGCGAGACAGAAGGTTGGTTAGATAAACAGGAGCTAGATTAATTAGATCTTTATAGGTGAGAAGTAATATTTTATATTTAATACAAAACTTAACAGGCAGCCAGTGTAAGGAGGATAAAATTGGGATGATATGATCATATTTTCTAGACCTGGTAAGAACTCTTACAGCTGCATTTTGTACTAATTGAAGTTTGTTAATAGAGGATGCTGGGTAGCCAGCAAATAGAGCATTACAGTAATCCAGCCTAGAAGTCATAAAAGCATGGACTAGCTTTTCTGCATCAGAGATTGATAGCATACTCGTAATTTAGCGATATTTCTCAGATGAAAGAAGGCAGTTTTTGTGACATGGGATTTATGATTTTCAATAGTTAAATTGCTGTCTAATATGACACCCAGGTCTTTTATAGTAGAGCTAACGCTAACTTTGTATCCCTCTAGTTGTAGATTGAGCTGTGAGATCTGCTGTGTACAGGATTTAGGCCCAATAAGTAATAATTCAGTTTTTTCTGAGTTTAAGAGAAGAAAATTGTTGGTCATCTATACTTTAACATCTCTAATACACTCAGTTAGCTTAGACCAGGGGTTTTCAAAGTCTTAGACAATGGGCCTCCCTTTTGACACAACTTATCCATTGGTGCCCCCCTCTTCCCAAACACGCACACACACACACACACACACACACACACACACACACACACACACACATACACACACACACATACATATATATATATATATATATATATATATATATATATAAAGACACATACAGATGTAAGACTATTAACTCACTTTTATCATCATTTGCATGAAAGTGCGATTATTTACAGAGTAATAACAAGTATTTTAATATAATGTTTTAAACTAGGATGATGGTTAATATGAATAGAACAGATCCAAGAACTGTTAATCCCAGTCAAAACAGTCAAAGTTTAGCGGGTCTCATGCTGTCATTAGCCAAAATATCTTGACAAACCACACTTAAAGGTCGTGGTTCATCAGCTGGTCCTGTCCACGTAAATCCTAAACTCAAATACTGATCATCATATCGTTGTCTTTTGGGTTTAAGCCCTGAACTTGAAGGCTTTGAATCGGGGGGTCTCAGAAACCGATCCATTGCAGGCACGTTCACACATATTGCTCAACCTGTGCAGTGCACATGCCCTTTTTAGTCCTGGATAGAAAGTGCCCTTCCAAAATGATCAAAAGTGCCCCCGCGACGCGGCACACCCTCGGTCCCGCCCTTCAGTAGGCGCGCGACAACACCGCTCGTGAGCACGCACGCGACAGACCCCTCCCCCTGTATTGGCAGGCTTGCCAAACAGAAGCGAATTTACAGCTATGGCCTTCTGGGTAAAAAAGGTTTTCTTATTTTTTATGTATTATTTTTTTTTTTGCTTTGTTTAATTAAAACGCTTAAATATAATAAAAAATACATATAATAATTAAACTTAATAATTATATTTTTATTATATATTTTTCCCGCGCCTCCCCTGACATGCTCTGGCGCCCCCCAGGGGAGGCGCGCCTCACACTTTGAAAACCCCTGGCTTAGACAGTTCAGACATCTCATCAGGTTTAGTTGAAATATATAATTGAGTATCATCTGCATAGCAGTGAAAGCTGATCCCATGTCTTCTAATAATGTCTCCCAGTAGCAGCATGTAAATTGTAAACAGCAAAGGGCCTAAAACTGATCCTTGAGGCACCCCATACTTAACTGGGCTGACTTGTGAAGGCTGTCCATTAATTTTCACAAACTGGTAACGGTCAGTTACGTATGACTTAAACCAGGGGTTTTCAAAGTCTAAGACAGTGGGCCTCCCTTTTGACACAACTTATCCATTGGCGCCCCCCTCCTCCCAAACACGCACACACACACACACACACATACATATATATATATATATATATATATATATATATACAGTATATATAAAGACACAGACAGATGTCAGACTGTTAACTCACTTTTATCATCATTTGCATGAAAGTGCAATTATTTACAGAGTAATAACAAGTATTTTAATATAACGTTTTTAAAACTAGGATGATGGCTCAATATGAATAGAACAGATCCAAGAACTGTTCATCCCAGTCAAAACAGTCGAAGTTTAGCGGGTCTCATGCTGTCATTAGCCAAAATATCTTGACAAACCACACATAAAGGTCGTGGTTCATCAGCTGGTCCTGTCCACGTAAATCCTAAACTCAAATACTGATCATCATATCGTCGTCTTTTGGGTTTAAGCCCTGAACTTGAAGGCTTTGAATCGGGGGGGTCCCAGAAACCGATCCATTGTATTAGCAGGCATATACCTGTATTGGCAGGCCAAACAAAAGCGAATTCACAGCTATGGCCTTCTGGGTAAAAAAAGGTTTTCTTATTTTTGACGTATTATTTTTTTTAGTTTTGTTTAATTAAAACTTTTAAATATAATAAAAATACATATAATAATTAAACTTAATAATTATATTTTTATTATATAATATTTTTCCCGCGCCTCCCCTGACATGCTCTGGCGCCCCCCAGGGGAGGCGCGCCTCACACTTTGAAAACCCCTGACTTAAACCATTGTAGCTCTTGTCCCTGGACATCTGTATACTTTAAGTGATTTATGAGGATATTGTGGTCAATGGTGTCAAATGCCGCACTAAGATAGAGTAGAACTAATAGCGAGATGGTCACCCTTGGTCAGCAGCTAAGAGTAAATGAATGGTTATTTTCACTAATGCGGTTTCTGTACTGTGATGAGCCCTGAAACCTGACTGAAAGACTTCAAAAATATTGTTTGTCTGCAGAAAGGAGCATAATTGAGTAGAAACAACTTTTTCTAGTATTTTAGACACAAATGGAAGATTTGAAATAGGCCTATAATTAGCTACTGTAAGTTGTTGGGGTCCAGTTGAGGTTTCTTAATAATAAGCTTAATAACAGCTAGCTTGTAAGAGTTTGGAACATGGCCTATAGATAAAGAAGAGTTGATAATGTTAAGCAGAGGTTCTCCTATAGCAGGCAGCAATTCTTTCAGTAATTTTGTTGGAATTGAGTCCAGCATACACGTAGCTGGTTTAGAGCCATTTATAATTTTATCTAGCTCTTCCTGTTCTATGATTTTGAAGCACTGTAGGTTGTTGTTATGATTCAGTGAAACATTTACAGGATTTGGAGTATAAGCTGGTGTAGAAAGTTTAGCATCTCCTATTTTCTGTCTAAAACCTTCAATTTTATCACTGAAAAAATTAATGAAGTCATCACTACTACTTTGCGGTGGAACATTTTGTTTGACCGAATATTTGCTAATTTAGCGATAGTGTTAAATAAAAATCTAGGATTGTTATGATTATTTTCTATCAGTTTGCGCAGGTGCTCGGCCCTGGCAGATTTTAGAGCCCTCCTATAGCTGGACATACTGTCTTTGTACGCAATTCTAAAGACCTCTAAATTAGTTTTTTTCCATTTACGTTCCAGGGTACGTTGCTGTTTTGAGAGCGCGAGTATGACTATTATACTATGGTGTAGTTTTATTCTCTCTAGCCTTTTTTAATTTGATGGGTGCCACAGTATTTAGTGTGCTAGTAAAGATGGCATCCACACTGCTGGTTACTACATCAAGTTCATTTGAGTTTGCGGGTGCATTACGAAATAGAGAAAGATCAGGTAAGTTATTTATAAATTCATCTTTGGTTGACGGAATGATAGCTTTACTTGGGCGAAATATTGCAGCGGGTTTGCTAATTTCAAGTAAAGAGCTTATATAGTAAGAGGTAGTGGTTTGTAATATTATCACTTTGTGTTATAATATTTACATCAATGACCTCATTTCCATAAGACAGAATTATATCTAATGCATGATTTAAGCGATGGGTTGGACCCACAACATTTTGCTGTTTCCCAAGCGAGTGTAGTAAATTCATAAACGCGAGCCCTAATGTATCATTAGCGTCATCTATGTGGATGTTAAGTTCACCGACAATTAGTATTTTATCAGTTTTGACTAGTAAGTCAGAAATAAAATTAGAAACCTCAAGAAAATTGACATAGGGTCCTGGGGGTCTATATATGGTGATTAAAGCAAGAGATAACAGGTTTTTGTAAAGTATCTGGAAGCTGAACACTAAGCGCTAATACTTCAAAGGAGCTAAACATAAGTCCGTTTCTCTGATTAACATTAAGGAAAACACTAAAGATTGATGCAACTCCACCACCACGACCAGTTTGACGAGCCTCATGTCTATATAAGTATCCTGGAGGAGTTGCTTCATTTAAGCTAATATAGTTATTTTGTTTTAGCCAGGTTTCAGTGAGACAGAGTGCATTAAGATTGTTTTCTGTTATTATTTAATTTATGATAAGTGCTTTAGGTGCTAGTTACCTGATGTTTAGGAGACTGAGCTTTACGAAATTTGTATTTTCACTTTTTACCAGTTTTTCTGGTTTGATTTTTAATAGATCATTTCTGGAGCACACAGTACGTTTGTTTCTTGATTTAATAATACGAGAAACAGACACATTCTCTATGGGATTAGCCAGATATGCATTACTGATGTTTAAGTGGGACGAACAAGATTCTATGTGTTTATAATGTGAACTTTGTGGATTTTTACTTACTAGTCAGATGGAGCTAAGTAATCTGGAGATGTTGTCAAACAGGAGTTCAGCTCCAGCTCGACTGGGGTGCAGGCCGTCAGCATGGAAAAGCCTAAGACGCTCCCAGAAAAGATTCCAGTTATTAGCAAAGAGCAATTTCTGTTCTTTACACCTACGATAGGTAGGAAGTGGCCCAGAAACAATGATCTGCGTGGCGGGCAAGATGCGTCGAACCGTCTCGATCAGGTTCCTGAAGTCCTTCTTCAGGATCTCTGACTGCCGGAGTCGGTGTCGTTCATCCCCACGAGGAGGACGACGGCACCAGGGCTCTCGGCAGCACCCAGGATCATTGTATTCTGTGTAGAAATGTTCTTAACTCGGGCACCAGGAAAGCAGAAAGTACGTACTTTTTTACCTTTGGACATACAGACATACATACATACATAAACATGCACACACATATATATATATATATATATATATATATATATATATATATATATACTAGGAATGTGCGGAGCAGCCAGTATTTGTATCTGTATTTGAATTTGTTGAGGGGGGAAAAGTATTTGTATTTGTATTCGAGTAAAATTCAAAATGGCGCAAAAATATATATATTTTTCTATTACACTTCTAATTTACGTTATAGTGATAGTATTGTTTAATTATACCCATTATATGAATTATAGACATGCAATATCTCTTAGGGAATCTCTTTCAGTAAACTGCTCTTTTAGATCACCAGCGAAACGCCAAGTGAATGGAAAACCAAGCTCGACCGCCGCTAACACGTCTTCTCCGACACTGGTAAAGGTAAGGCTTCTTCAAGTTGAAAGTCAGCTCAGCAGACGGGTTCTTTAGTCTCAGATTGGGTCTGAAGCAACAATTCTAACAAGCTAACTCACACAGCCGACTGATATAGCCCTAATTGGCTCATCAGTTTCAATTCTATTGGCGTTTCATTGGCCCAATTTTATATCTTCAGAAATTATTGGTCGTCTAAACCACTCCCAAAGTCTGTGTACCCAGGTGAAAAAAATATATAATTAAATGCAATTAAAATATACTTAAATACCCGCAAATACATTTTTAGTATATTGTTATTTTTTGTGTTAAATAAAAGTTTGATGGTTTTACACTTTAAATATGCTAATTAAAAGTATGTTTATACTTCAGTAGGACTTTAGTACACTTGACAAAAGTATATTAAATACCAGTAATACTAATTTTTTAGTGTACTACAATAAAGTACACTACAAAAAAAAAAACATCCAAAAGAGTTTTATTAGTGTTTTTTTCAAAAGCGTGCTTTAAATGCTTTAAACATTAGTTGATTTTTAGTACACTGTTTACATCTTAATCATAAGTTTAAAATAAGTTAATATATATAAAAAATCTATTAGTAATGTATTGTAGTAGAAGTACATTTTCCCAAAATTTCTTTACATTTCATATATGTGCTGTAATGTTGCATCTTACTTATATTTTTGTGTTCTCAGTTTTTGCTAAGTTTTTGTTCCCTCCCATAAGGTATTTTTGGACTTCTGGTTTATTGAACAAAAAGATTAAAGTGTTTTGATGAAGCACAGATGCTGTTTTCTTTGTACACACAGTATCCCAGGTAAAAAAAAAAAAAAAAGTGCACCAAAATGCACTTTAAGTATACTTAGAGCACTTTTAGTACATTACTGAAAAGTGTACTATTTTCACACACTAATTTTGTACTTAATGTACTAAAAGATAGTATTAAGTACATTTTAAGATAAACTTAAGTACATCTAAGTGTACTCAACTGTGGTATTATGAGACACCATGAAGCTGATATAAAATGTGCTTTTAACATATTAAACATTTATTTAATGAATATATTTTGAAGGGATACTGTGTGTACAAAAAAACAGCATCTGTGCTTCATCAAAACACTTTAATCTTTTTGTGCAATCTCAGCTAGAAGGGAACGTTCTCTTAACTTTGGCTAACATTCCCTACAGGTTGTGTTAATGTTTTAAAGAAAACATTTTAATGTATTATCCAATAAATATTCAAAAAATGTTTTTCCCAAAATAATGAACAAGAACATTCTAGCAATGTTTTGTAAATGTTGGTAAGGTACCAGATTAAACAACGTTCTCTTAGAAAATGTTTTCACAATGTTTCATAAAACCAAAAAAGAACATTCTCACAGTCACATGAGAGAAATGTCTTAAGAACATCATTAAGGTGTGAGATGTGGAATGTTCTTTGAAGAATGTTCTAGCAATAAGACATCTGAACAAAGCTAGCACATTTTATCTGCAACATTTTAAAAACATTTTAGGAGTATTGAAATGGCATCAGATTAAACATTGTTCTCTTCGAAAACGTTTTCACAATGTTTCATAAAACCAAAGTAAGAACATTCTCACAGTCACATTAGAGAAATGTTATAAGAACATGATTTCTTTTCAATATCAAGACAGAAAGACAATTAACATACTAATTTTAACCTGTACTTATTAAAATGTACAAAATGCTATGTTCAAACACTTATTGCAGGCCAATAAGTAAAACCTAGTGATTTAAAAAAATAGTGGCAAAGCACAGATTTAAAGTGACAATTAATTAGCATTTTATACAATTATTAAAATAAGTATTATGTGTCAGCAAATTATTCTTGTTTAATATACCAGATTTTTAAAATTCTTTTTTTTTTTTTATTTGTTACACATGTTATACAATGAGCACTAGAATATAAGAAAATGCAGTGCTTTAAACTTTTTTCCACATTGCTACAGTAAAATTAAATATGTTAAATGGCTATAGAGAGTGTTTTATTTTTGGAAACAAAAAAGAAAACAAATAATCTTATTAACAGACATGTAGAATATTTAGAGAATATCTCAGGTAGTAGGCGTAGTCGCAACCTTGCGCAACGTTCCCTAAAAGTTCCCTAAAGGTAACAAAAGTCTCGGACCTTTACAAAACATTAAGGATGTTCTTAAAACGTTCTATTTTAGTCATAAAATAACGTTCCCAGTATGACTTTAGGAGAATGTTCTGTTTTGGTCATTCTATGGTCACATAATAACATTACAAAGAGAACCTTTCTAACATTAACAACGTTTTCACATGGTTCTCCTTTAGTCATACAATAACGTTTTGAATATGACTTTAAGAGGATGTTCTGTTTTGGTCATTCTATGGTCACATAATAACGTTACAAAGAGAAACTTTCTGACATTGCTGACTAAAATGCAAAAAAGGTGTGTTTTTATGGCCATTTGAAAGTGAAAGCAAACTTTGTCCCGCAGCACTAATAGACTGATTTCACGCGGCCGCCGTTATTAAAAGCAAAATCGAGGCTGTGGTGGGAAGAAACCCGGAAGTATCGTTGGGAGTTACATAGGACCGTTGTGTACCTGGCTGTATATCTTATCAGAGAAGAGAAAGTGACACAAATTTATAGTTTCATCGCCTTCCGAGTGACCCGAAGGTCCGTTCTGAATAAATGGTGAAAATAAAAAGGCATATCAGAGCTAATTTTCAGCTAAGTTAAGGGAAATGGCATTAGTAGTTTTAGATGTCATTTATTAAACTCAAGTTAATGAACTGATTCTTTCACTATATTTTTCACGAAACTATACTTTTCACTAGAGCTGTGAACCTACACTAGTCTCACAGTTCGGTTTAGTTACGATTATCATGCCATCGATTCGGGTCAATTCCATATTTCGGTGCATTGACGGTGCTTTTCATACACAGTTTTATATTTTCTTCACAGCAGCAGTTCTTGTATTAAATGTATGAATATATTTATATATTATTTGTAATACAATTTTGTCATTTAATACAAACAGTATATAAACTGTAACTTTAAACAAAACGAGCAATAAGCAAATAATATAAACAAATATAAATATCCAGCTCAATTTCTGATCCTTGTCTAGTTCTCTTACACCTCTTTGATTGGTCACACCCTCAACAAAAATGGTTGCGATTGGTTCTTGCGCGCTGCGCTCTTCACAGATGAGTGATAAGTGGCAGGCGGCAGCGGCGATCTCACAGCTGATGTATGATAGACACGGTGGAGAAAACTGTAGACACGCGCTCGTTTCTTTGTCCAGAAGTAACGCTGTAAAACAGCCGGGAGGAGAAGAAAAGCCACGCCAGCAGGTCAAATGGGCCACTGTGTGTGTGTGTGTGTGTGTGTGTGTGTGTGTGTGTGTGTGTGTGTGTGTGTGTGTGTGTGTGTGTGTGTGTGAGAGAGAGAGAGAGCGAGAAAAAGAAAGAGAGACATTGAGTATTTTCATTCTCTCGATCTCAGTGAGATAGGGGCTTTTGTTGTATATGTCAGTGAAAGACTACTCCAGCAAACAGTTTATGAGTTTTAAGTAGTTAAAGCGTTGTAAATACTTGCAATCGCCTCCCTCGTGACAAAGCGCATATGAAGTAAATGACGTCAGTAATAACCGGTTATGATTATTACTGAACCAATATCGAATTGTCTGCGTCTGCAACCAGGTGCACCGAAGAAACGATTAATTTTGACACCCCTACTTTTTACGATATTGAATTTAAAGAAAAACCGTCAAAAGCATCCCCACGGTGTTTAACTGGTGCCATGAGCTGAAACCTAGGAGGATACTTAAGTGTATTACTCTTACAGAGACTGTGATGTTGTTCAATGCTAATTTGCTTTTAATTGTTTATATTAAACTGACTGAATGATATTAAAGTGATGTTTACACCATTTCTGCATTTTGAAATCTCGGCAACAGCCGGAGGTTTGTAGTGCACAGCATGTTACTACAGTGCTGGTCCTATACTTCCAGGTTTCTTCCCACTGAAGCCTCGCTTTGGTTTTTTAAAATGGCGGCCGCGTGAAATAAGCGTATTCTAATAGCTAGGGATGGCTGACGTGAAACTGACGTTTCGACACAGTGTCAAGGTCTCGAAGCGCAAGTGTTTCTAAACAATGCACCGAAGCATGATTCGAAACACCCAGGTCAGGTTACCAAAGTGTTTCGAAACACCTGGTCACGTGAGTAAAGCGATTCAAAGAATTGATCAGTTCAGAAGCATTTCGAGACCTGGAGAATCTGCATTTGACTCACAGGGTTTGTAAATACTTCTGTCATATGGCCTAGTGGACCGTGCGAGTGCACCTTGATACTATAGTTGAAATCACTTTTGGGTTCGAATCCCGACTTGTACAAATACTTTAAAATCATGATTTAGGTATTTTAATAATGTTACTGTTTTATGGTGTAGTCTAGATAGGATACAGCTGCTGATACGCCATCAATTTACCATAATTTTTGTAACACTGTAAAACAATGATTATTATTTTTACAGTAAAGTGATGGGTTTAGGTTTTGGGTAGACGTTAATAAAATACAATGGGATTTTTCATTAATAATATAAATAATTATTGTTACCTTCTGGCCACACCTGTGTCTGATCTAGCAACAACCCTGTTTTATGATCAAAACAAGACATTTATTCACACAGTGTTTATTTAGTGTCAGACCAATATTAAAACAAAACGATACAAGAACAGAGCTTTTCAAACTGATATTAAAACATTTCAAAATTGCTGTAACAGGCCAAATTCAAACCTACTATCCCCGCATGGTAGTCAAGAACCCTAACCGCTCCACTAAATCATTTGAAGGGTTAAGGCTAAAAAGTGGGGTTTAATAGCTCAATTTGCTCAACTGTTCTTCGCTGAAGCTGTTCCAGAGCAATACATAAAAAATGACCACTAGGTGCCACCGTAGAGTGGGTTTCAAAACATTTTGAAGCTTAAACACATTTGCTTTCCCTGGTGACAAAAAAGTATACTAAATTGTATTGCAAATATAAAGTATACCTAATTTAAATATATTAAAAATGTATTATTACCATACTTTTATATATAGCTTTTAACACTTAAAAATAATTGTAATTTAATATATTTTTTAAAAATATATTTTAGATTTTTTTATTTCTATCTATCTATCTATCTATCTATCTATCTATCTATCTATCTATCTATCTATCTATCTATCTATCTATCTATCTATCTATCTATCTATCTATCTATCTATCTATCTATCTATCTATCTATCTATCTATCTATCTATCTATCTATCTACCCATTTAAAACATTTGTAAATAGTGTGCAAACATACACTGTTAAAACAATTGCCAGAAACTCACAGCGTTATTGTATCCTTTTACTGGATTCAACTGTAAAAAATCACAGTAATATTATGTAGGCCTACTTAAAATTTTATTGTGACATTACGGTTGGCAGCAAAGGGCAATATGTTTTGCACATTAGTTATAGGGATTCAAATTCTTTTTATTTTTGCATAAAAATTGATACAGTAGAGCAGGCACTATATATAAAAGATATATTTTTCATATCTTTAAATTTGGCTACCAACATCTTATAAGGTAACATGTAAATATGATTTTTTTTTATGAACATAATTTTGTGCTTAGCCAAAACGTAATAAATTGTAACAAAAATAATTGATTCATGAAACCAAAAAAGTGTTAAACACACCCTGAGGTTAGGAATCTGCCCTACCGACTAATTTAAAATGACACAATCTTAATAAATAAACCAAAAACCGATTCATAGAACTGAGCCGATTCGACTAGACCGCAAACAAGCACAGTCACCACAAGCAATGCCTCATTTAAACCATACCCATACCTGTCGATGACTTAACAGATTTATCCACGGTAAGCGTTGAAATGTCCAGTTCAGTTAAATGATTAATTTGTGTATATTTTTGTACGGTGCATGTCATTTAACAGAATTAACCAAGTAAGTTAGCTTTAGTTGTAACGTTAGGTTGATATGCCATGATGTTAACAGACGGGTTAAGTGCCATTTTTAAACAAGAAATTAACAGACCACACTTGTAAGTTAAGGTTAGTGCTTGTCAGGTAACACTATTAGAGGTTTTTAGCATAATGTTAGTTACCAAAAAAAGAAAGGTGGTTTTCAGTTAACTTTAACTGTTAACTGCCCTCTCTATTTCAGCACAACATTGAACTGAAGGTGAGGTACTTCACATGACCATGAGGGATAAGTTAAGGTAAGTGTCATTATGAAAACAAGAAATTTCTCTTAACTTTAATTGAATTAGTGTTAACTGCATTCTCTATTTCAGCACAAAATTGAAGTGACCATGTGGAATACAGTTAAGGTAAGCTGGCCTTCACATAGTCATTATGACCATCTTCAACCAATAAAATGTTATTGTCATAGATTATGGCAAATGCAAAGTAAATTAACCACATAACAGTGGTCAGTTGTTTTTGTAACATAACAGTAGGTAATATACAGTGAATAATTATTTAGCATTTAAAGAGTCTTTTAAGATTATTCAGATTTTCATGTTGGCAGTGATGAGCTAAAGCTGTCTGACTGAAAATTAAGTCTGTTTGCATATACCCCATTCAGTTGTATTTTTAAGCTAACATTAGCATAGTACATGTTAATTGTCTATTTCTTAGGGGTAATTTTAATGCATTACTAACTTTTATTAATGAGAACTTACTGTATAGAGTCACTGATTATATATTTTATTTTATTTTTGTGGTTTAGGTGTACATAATGGCTAAAGTGCATGGTGAGTGTATATCATAATCATTCAGATTGGTATGGTGGTACTATAGATTTAGATTATCAAATGTTGAGTCTTATTTGACCTCTTATATCCATCAGTTTTTGCAGCCTTGCGCCAGACCCATGGATGTTGAAAAAGTGTGATGCCACCCCTCGCCTGAAGGTAATGTTGATGTCTTCTTCGTTTTCATTAGATTTTTAAATGTCCAGTTGTTTACAGATTTGTTGTGAGCAGTTTCATGTACAAACTCATTTTCTTCTTGCAATAGTTCCAACATTAAAAAAATCTGGTGTTAAAAACAACCACAGCTAGGCTAGTTGGCTACCAAGTGCTGAGTAAATATTAGCCAAAGATTTTTTTTAAATATAGTTTTTGTGTTTTCTTAGCAATTTTAACCAGCCATTTTAGTAGGCAGTGTATGGAAGGTGAATGTCAACTTATTTGTACAAACAAATTTAATTATTCACAAACTCAGTCTTTCTTTTCCCAGCAATACTACAACATTAAACAACAGTTTTATTCCTTGGGTCAAGTGATCATGGGATCTCATCTGGATTTAATATGGTCTGAATTTGAAGTATGCTGAAGATGCCTTTTGCACTGTGGAACTTAAGGTAAAGTCTACATTTAATATTGTACTTGAGGGTTTGTTTTAGGGGTTAAACAAGGAATGTATAGGAGCACAAGCAGTCATCTTTAATACGATGTGTGTTGCAGACTTAATTTGTGTGTATGTGCTGGAGACCAGAGAGGATGCTGTCCTTAAAAGGATGGAGCTGTTATGCTGGATTGAGACCAAATGTGAACTACAGTATTCAGGTGAGTGTAATAGGTACAAGTCATTGCAAATAGATTAAAAAGAGGGGAATTTGTACTGGACAGCAAAAATGAAGTAAAATGCAAAACACGATTGTGAATGTGTGATATTCACTTCATCTCTGTTTTTTCACTTTTTTTTAATGTGAAACATATGTATAACATTGTTTCCAACCAACTGAATGTGTTCTCTTACTATCGTCAAGTAGTGTTAGGGTGCTTTCACACCTACACTTTTGTTTCGGAACGTATCTCGTTTGCCCAGTTAGCGCGGTTCGATTGGCATATGTGAACAGGGCAATCGCGCTCTGTTCCGCGCCAAAGTAATCGCTCCGAGATCGCTTGAATGAGGTGGTCTCGGCTCGATTGAAACGAACCCTGGAGCGGTTCGATTGCAGTGAGAAAGCGATCCGATCCGAGCGCGGTTATATCACAGTGTTTTATGGATATGTAATAGGCTTACGGCTATATGAAGAGAGAATTATGAGTAGGGCGGGAATTTTCGCGAGTCTCCGGATGCCCGCAAACGAGTGATGATCTCCCGGTAATCTCGCGTCTCTCTCCCAGTCCTCAAATAGGCATCGTCGCGCACCCTTCTCACCCCTCCCCACCGTGTCTCTCCTTAGACACGTCACGCGCGCGCACCTTGTCAATCACCACCAAACCACCACCTCTCCTGACAGCTGAGCGGGACACTGCAAAATAAACCCTGACACTCTGACCAATGTAAGGAGAGTTTACTCGCACGTGACTTGTTTTAGCTCTTTTGGTCCGATTAGAAACTTTGCAGTGTGAAAGCGAACCGCTCCAAGAGCAAAGAGCAACAATGTAACAATTTTAATCTCTGTTTCGGAACAACTGAATCGATTGACAGGTGTGAAAGCACCCTAAATGTTATAACAACTCTTTATTTGGTACCTTATATCCAGGTTTGTTTGTAATGTAAGGGTGAGAAAATAACAAAATTATAATTTTAAGGTGAATTACCCAATTAATTAGTTAAAATAATTTAAATAATAATTCAATCCAATCTGACAATTCTATATCTTTTTTAAATGAATGTGTATTTGTAAATACAGATGTGTACACATATCTGATATTTGTTACATTCACACTTCGTTGCAAACCTGTATTTCTTAATTTCACTAGATAAGTCATATTTTAGCTCAAGAAAAATGTAAGGATTACTGTATGAAAATATATTTAAACAGTTTGTTTTTGCTGCCTTTTTGTGTAATCTTGACCACCAAATGAGCTTTAGTTGCATAGTGATTGCTTTTTATGTTGTGTAAAACATTATAATTTATAATAATTTAGCTTATTTCTCATTTGTTCCTGATTTCTCTGGCTGATTCTCATGTTACTGTCCCTAAATGTATAAAAGGGTAAAATGTCATAAGTTTCTCTTTTTGCCTTAGCAACTCCGGCAAGATGCACACTCACAGAGACATCTGCCATTGAATCCTCAAAGGACAAGATGGACCCTCACAGGCAAGGTCAACGAGCTCATATATTCTGTACATCATTACCTTTTAAATTAATTTAGTTAAATTATTCATTTTGTATTTCCTTTATCTACCTACATGTCAGGGAGTACTGAATAAAAAATAAAATTATTGCTAAAAATAATACAGTTAAGCTGTTCTACATTATTATAGAGTGATTGTAGTCTTTAATTTGATCTTTTTTATTTAAAAAAGTTCATTTTTGTCTTTATAATGCTATTATAATGCTATAAATGTGACATATGCTACCATCACTGACATACTGTATGCTGTCAATGTCTAATGTATCCAGAGCAGATGCTGTGATGATCATGGATGAGGCAAGAGCATGACCGTGACAGACAAGTTTCTGCATTGATTCCATGGGCTATTCTGAACACCTGCCGTTGACCGTCTCAAACCAGCACCTTCTCCATGACGGACACTCATCGTTCTCAAGCCTTCCAGAGTCTTTTAGACCACAGCTCTACCTTTATGTTTGACCAGAAGAGAATTGGTCCCTGAGCCTGGTTTCTTTAAAGTTTGTTCTTTATTTCCATCAACCAGTGGAGTTCTGTTTCTGTCCACTGTCCCTTTGGCTTGCTTGATCAGAGCTGGACCTTCCTTTAACAGTGACAGTTGTATTAAACTGAAGTGAATCAGTTTTGATTAAACTTTTAATTATAACTACACTACCATTTTACCACTACTCTCTCATCCCTGCCTGATATGCTGGAATGTTACACAATTTTAAATATTATGACTTTTTGTCTTTATATATGTAAACTATTTTTGCAAAATTATTTTCAAAACCACAGAAATCTAAAATTTACCCCTACACCATCAAGCTAATAAAGAGAATTGGGACACTGGACCTCTTCGTGTGAATGCATGAACCTTAGCCCTTCTAAGGTGTAGAATTGGGATTGGGCCTTAATCAAAGGCTCCACTATAGGGATATGGTGAGATTTGATGTTTGTTATGCACTTGTTTGTTGAAGCACAGTACATTTTGTACACATGAGCAGACTTTGCACATTCATGGACTTTCTGCAATGTCATGGCATTTTAAAAGATCTGTTCTTAAATTGTCATGTTTTGTACTGAAGGACATTTTCTGCAATATTTTGTACTATTTTTAATAGACTAAAAATATATTTTTTAATGATTCTGTAAAACATTTAAACCCTTTTGAGGTTTTAATAAAAACAATTTGAATTGTTCCTTGTGTGTATTTGCCTTTTATTGAAGTTGCATTTAACATATATTTTGTAAGAAAATAATATATTTATGGTATATTGTGTGTGTGTTTTAAATGCACTAATTCATTTCTAATGTACTTATAATACATAAAAAATACACTTTAATATCACTAAGCAAGCATGAAATTAGCATACATGTCATGCTTATTTAAAGTGTACTAAATATACTTAAAGTTGTTCCAATTTAGCACACAAAAGTACACTAAATACACTTAAATGTGTACTTTAGTGCAATTTTTTTTTCAACTAAAATATACTTAGCACAAAATTAATATGTCCAAAATGTCACACTTTAAGTTAACTAATCATTAATATACTTAAAATATACTGACAATTAGTACGGATCCAAGTATACTAAGCATATTTATTTTTCACTAGGGCTGGGAAGTGAAATAAAACAATATGATTAAACGTTATAATAATGTTAAAATATAATGTTGTAGAAATGTTACTTTGAAACATATTTAGAATGTATTTAGGGAATGTTTTTCTACAATTAAAGAGAACATTCTGTAAACTAAAAGAAAACCCATAAATAATGTTATAAGAATGTTAGAATATAATGTTCTAAAATTGTTACCAGGGAATGTGGTTAGAATGTTTCCAGAGAATGTTTTCCTAACATTAAAGAGAACATTCTGGGAACTTAAAGAAAACTAGCCACTAATAATGTTATACTAGTGTTAGAATATAATGTTCTAAAATAGTCATCAGTGAATGTGGTTAGAATGTTTCTAGAGAATGTTTTCCTACCATTAAAGAGAACATTCTGGGATCTTGAAGAAAACTGGCCGCTAATAATATTATACGAATATTAGAATATAATGTTCGAAAATTTTTACCAGCGAATGTGGTTAGAATGTTTCCAGAGAATGATTCCAGACTGATTACACTCGAACCCCCTGAGGATTGTCAGAGACTGATTGCACACACTATTTAAGCAACACACTCACTCATTCATATTGCCGAGTCTTGTTAATTGTAAAGTAACACTACAACGTGTTTTCTAGTCTTGTTTTCCCGTGTTTTGACCTTAGACTTGTTAGCCCGTTTGTCTTAGTCTGCCTTCTGACCACTCGCCTGATCCTTTGACTACGATTCTGGACTTCCCTTGTATATCTGTTTGCACCTATATTGACCATTGCTTGCCTGACCACTGATTAAACCTGCACATGGATCCTATCTCTGTTGTTTGTGTCACTCCTCGGGTTACACTAATAAAACTCTTTTGGATGTTTTTTCTGTAGTGTACTTTATTGTAATACACTAAAAGTTTATTTCAGTATTACTGGTATTTAGTATACTTTTGTCAAGTGTACTAAAGTCCTACTGCAGTATAAACATACTTTTATTCAGTATATTTATAGTGTACAACCATCAAACTTTAATTTAACTCAAAAAAATAACAATGTACTAAAAATGTATTTGCGGGTATTTAAGTGTATTTTAATTGCATTTAATTATATATTTTTTTCACCTGGGATCCCTTCAAAATATATTCGTTAAATAAATGTTTAGTATGTTAAAAGCACATTTTAGATCAGCTTCATGGTGTCTCATAATAGCACAGTTGAGTACGATTACATGTACTTAAGTTTATCTTAAAATGTGCTTAATACTAATTTTTAGTACATTAAATAGAAAATTAGTTTGGGAAAATAGAGCACTTTTAATAAAGTATCTAGCACACTTTTTTACAATTTGTATATTCTTTTAATATATTACTATTATACTTTAGATTAGTCATAAATTTATTTAAATGTTTAAAAAGTAGGGTTCAAGCTTATTTCTAGTTGTAACTAAATATATTTTTTAAAAATACAGATATAGTATGTTAAAAGCACATTTTAGTTCAATTTCAGGGTGTCTCAAAATCATGGGCGGACTGGGACAAAAATTCAGCCCTGGCACTGAAGCCACACAGTCTGCCCATCTTGAAACCAGGCGGCAATTGCCGATTGGGCCAAATGCTTAACATTTATTATTATTTTTATTATCACCATCATAATATCACATCTAGCAAGAGATAAAAGCTGTCTATACTTAAAAACAATACAAATAAAAAAAAAAATAAATAAAAAAAACTGAACAGCCCACATTTAAAAATTGGTCCGGCCCTTCTGGCATTTGCCAGAAATGCCAGTCCGCCCCTGCTCAAAATAACACAGTTGAGTACACTTAGATGGTATTTAGTTTATCTTAGCATATACTTAATACTATCTTTTAGTACATTAAGTACAAAATTACTGTGCGAAAATAGAGCACTTTTAGTACATTACTGAAAAGTGTACTAAGAATACTTAAAGTGCATTTTAGTGCACTTTTTTTTTTTTACCTGGATATACAGACACACGTAGAAGTTCCCATATGAAGGGGAAACGTAGTTCCTGGATGTGTTCTATTCCCACTTATCCCCCCTATGCCCTATTTATTTAGAATATTCTAACATTCAAAGTTGGAATTATTAAAAATAAAAAAAGCAATAAGGTAATCTATCTTAGATGTAATATGCTTTCAAACTACTTTTATAGTTCAGTTTTAGCGATCTTCATATTTACAATTGTGCTCCCTTCACAGTGCACTTTGAAAACATTGATGTCATTTTGAACACAGCCTCATGGCGGAAGCTATAGGAGTCTTCAAAGCTTGTGAAAACAAAAATCATACATAAATGCTTTTAGTTTATAGTGTTTTTTTTTATTAAGTATATTATTAAGTATCTGTACTGTATATGACATAGGCCAGCTGGTTAGAACTTTCTGCAGTGGTTTACATGTGTCAAATTTTAAAAGTAGACTTTAAAAAATATGTATGTAAATTAACTAATATTCTTCCTAATAATAATAATTATCATCATAATCAATATTAATATTATTATTAAAGTATGTTTTTTTTCATTTCTAATAAATAATAAATATTACATTTCATTTTATAATAAATAGCCTTATTATTTATTTATATATTTGATTTATATATGATATTAGAATAGTGTTTGCTTTTGTAAGTGATTTTATGTTTTAGAATAGAATATGTAATGTTAAACTTCTCAATAATATTAGTAAAGCAAACATAGGCCCTATGTGGCATTTACATATATTTCAGTTAATATGGGAAGCAAGTGCATGTTTTTACCAAATCTAATATTGGATTTTACTTAAAATGTGTGAGCGTGTGAAACAATATAATTTGCACAAAGAAATTATGGGTTTTTCTCTAAAGAAGTAGTTACTTCACCCACTTTAGAGCATCAATATGGGCGTTTTACGTTATAACTAACGTGGTTCAAGCGATGGATCTGCGACAGAGAAGCTACGGGTTTTGGAAAACACTGGTCACTACATAGTTCTTTTCCCAAACGATGCATCGTACTATGATACTTCAGCCTTGAGTTACGTCGTTGTTTGGGAAACGCAACCAAGAATAGTAGTTCTATTGGTATTTTTTCAGCTTTTTTTGGCACCAGAAAAAGGTATAAAAGTGAAATTTTGGAACTGGTTTTTAAAGCACTCTGGCAAGAGTGCTTTAAATTTTAACTAACAGGGCCAAACCAATGATCTAAATGAGTGGCCCAGAATTCCTACAGACATCCAACCCATCCCACCATCATGTATACAACCCCCCACTTATGCAGACATATAATTTAAAGCGTTAGCTCACCCCAAAATGAAATTATTCATTCCAAAATGATCTTTAGAACACAAATCTTGATAAAATGCATACCCTGAGCTGTCGTAGAAGAAAAGACAAAGTGTTCTTGGAGCTTCTTATGATTGCAACTGAACCAAAGAAGTCACAAGAAATGTTTTGACAATGTTTTTAGTTCTTTTTCTAGACTTAGAATGACCATTGCTATGTATGGAGGATGAGAGAGCGCTTGGATTTCATCTAAAATATCTTAAGTTGTATTCCAAAGATGGACAAAGCCTCAGGGGTTTTAACGACATGAGTCACATGAGTAAGTAATTAACAACAGAATTTCCCTTTTTGTATGAACTAACGCTTTAACTAAAAACAATGGCTGGGTGTTTCCCATTCGGTCCCAAAGCAAGTCAGTGACAGAATTACATTACAGTGTACACGAAGAAGTTTTACTTTATTTCAAATAAAGTAAATAAAAAAGTTAAAATACATAAACATATTTACAGGTGCACTTTAACATCCTTTAGAGCGTTTGTCTAGGCTCAAATGGCCAAAATGTGGGGGTGTGATGACTTCCTGTTAGTGATGTGGTTTGTAGTGTAAAGGACAGTGGTTTTGTTTCTGTTCAAATGTCATGCATTATATATACTTTCAGAATTGTGTTCAATTTCAGAGTTCCTTGTTGTTTGTGTACAGACATTTAATCTCTGACATTAAATCACTGCATGTAGAATTTTTTCCTGAACTGTTTGCAGTGTGCGTTTAGCTCAAATAAAGTGTTATACTAAGCTCTGAACTTGACAAAAAATGACTTGCATGGCCTTTTATTTGTCTCGACATGGTTATATTTACACAGATTTCAAAATTGCTTCAGACATATCACCATCACAAGGTTTTCTTTACAACAAATGGAAAAAGAAAAGCAGAGTAGCCTTTTTTTCTAAACAGCAAAACTAACAACAAAGATTAAACCACCAAGGCTTGCACTCACTGATGACCAAATGTGGAAAACTTAACTTTACTTGTTGGGGCCCACCACAATGTCTACATCATGCAAAGAAGTTAGTATGTGGGTTTTTTTCCATTAAAAACAACTGAGAATAGCTCATTTCTGATGTGTCTTAATTATTTTATTTATCAAGCAAGCGTGATTAATGCATTTTATATTTAATACATTGGTGGTTGGTCAGGAAGATGTTCTTGTGTTTGATATGTGGGCCATCTTTTGTTCAAACTCCTCACACACCAAAGAAAAGACCACTTCGGTGTACTGAAAAAGCAAAACCAGTGTTAGCATTTGCAAATCCATGTTATATTTTAAC